GCCAACTTCACAGACACGTAGTTTTGCCGGTGCCTCGCCATTTGCCATTTACATGCACTTGATTGTACACATTTGTACTATCTATCGTCGTCATATGTGTCGTGTGCAATAAAGATAATAATAATAATAATAACAATCGAAGAAAAAGCTGGCAAAAGATTTGTTAATTAATCCAATTTACAACGTTTCGACTACCCGGATCGTAGTCCTTCTCGAGCTAGAGCGAGCGTCTTCGCAGCTCTTACTATCGTTGTTAATTACAAGTCCAGAGGTAAAAGACAATTTATAAATCATAATCTCATCTTGAGTGTTATTAACGCAGAACTTGTTACTAATTGTAAGCACGTCTGTGCAATTTTTAAGTCAACAGTGAAACTAATAATAACAATAATAATCTTAATAATAATAATAATGATAATAAATCCAAGCTTCGTGACTCTCGGCCGTGATAATTGAAGCCTCTGCGAGTCGGAAGTCGGCGGCTGGGCAAGTCGAAAGGCCCTCTTCCTTCCTTGGTGAATGACACCGTACGTCACGATAGGCGGACGTCTTTATTGTTGCTGAAGCCGTTACAGGCTAGCCCGAGCTCACCTAAGGAATTACGTAATCGCACAACAGGTGTCTCTTTCTCCTCCTCTCTCTCTCTCTCTCCCTCCCTCTTTTTCTTTTTTTTTCTTTCTCTCTTCGTCTTGCCTTTTGCGGCCACATGTTCCACCATAAGCGTTTAACCACGCTCAGTGGTATCGAGTCGTGCGTTCGGTATTTCCTGACGATCTTCACAACAACGCACTGCTGAAGCTAGCCGATACGTACTCATACAGATAGAGTGGCATAGTATGGCATGAAACGGGACGTGACGAGAAACACGTCTCTTTAGCATCCCATTTGTCAACCTGAGCGACGAGTGACAGATAAATTTAAGCTTCGTGGCTCTCAGTTGTGATAATCAAAGGCCCGTATTCTGAACCCTCTTTTATCAATAAAGGCGTCTCTAAAAGTGGCCGGTAGCTAATCAGAAGACTTATTAGCCACTTTTAGAAACGCTTAGCGATAAAAAACGATAAAAGAGGGTTCAGAATACGGGCCGAAGCCTCTGTGAGTCGGAAGTCGGCGGCTGAGCGAATCGAAAGGCCCGCTTCCTTTCTTGCCGAATGCGTTATGAAGGTTCCCTTATCAGTTATCGTTACGGCAAATGTTGAAGTTCATAGGTAATTCTTCTTGTATTTTTCCTCTCGGAAATATTCTCACCGAAATTGGGTCATGCCGTATAAATTCTATTCCGACGCGAATAACTCGTGTAAATGTTTGTCTTGTATCAACGACACAACTTCTTACGTCTTATTAGACTGTTTTGCATAAATCATAAAGTTTTTTTTTTAAAATAGATCGACGAGACGGAATGAAAATACCAATGGCGCGTGACACGAATTGACAGGATCATTTACAGGTGCACAAAAATTCTCACCGTCCCGCGAGTGCCGTCGTCGTTGGTTCGTGGATTCCGTTAGGCGAGGAAATAAATTCGATTGATTTACGAGGCGACGGAGAAGAGAAGTTACGGCCGTTTTACGCGCGTGATTGCAATATGTTTATTTGCAATATTCGCGACCATCGTGTGTGCCTACCGCAACAATAACTACACGGAGAGACCGGCTAAGGCAAAAATAACTAAAATTAAAATGCTGCCGTATAAATAGTAGGGGCATCTACATTGTTTTATGTTGCAACATTCACTAAGTTTGCTGCACAAAACGCATGTACAATACCCTCCGTAATAATAAAAGTATATGAAAGAAATACACAATGAAATCGATGCATTTTGCTCCGTAAGTGTTTATTTAACTAAAGAAAATTAAAACGAAGATACATACGTACGTGCGACAAGTTTTTAATAAAGATTTAACTTAAATTTTAGATTCCTCAAAGTAACCACCTTTTGCTTTAATGACTGCCTTGCATACTCGCGGCATAGATTAACTTTTGCGGAGATTCAGTCGGGATGCGTTTCCATTCTTGCTGGAGAATCTCCCAGACATGCACTTCACTCGTAACGCGCTCTTTGCGAATCCTCCTGTCTAATTCGTTGTTCAAACGTATCGTAATTGTATCGTTACTTTTATCGTTATATAATTATCGTTATTTATCGTAAACGACTGATGATATATTTATATCAAACATGTGCACAGATCGCTGCTGTGCCACTATTTATCTGTAAAATATAGAGTGTTTTCAAACTTACGGTGGGTACTGTAGTTGTCTCCACTACTTATCATACCAATGTGGGTATGACAACCACAGATATAGCTGTCCCAAATAATATTACTATTTATTGGGGTTGTGCCAACCCTAATTAGACATGTGGTAACCGGTATCTCGGTCTCTCCGTGTATTACTAATGTAACGTTCCTGTGGAACTCGTGGTATCCGATTTGCAGATATAAACTTGCTTTATGGAGGATCGTCTCTATCGACGTGTGAGCGAGAAC